TTTCTGAAGTGTTCAAAACATTACTTCAAGAGTTCTTTGCTCGGAATTACATCCAACACCATCATAACTAATCAGTGGACCCGCCAGGGATCCACCTTACCCTACCTTAACTTAGTCCTAAGTATGGAACACATCTCATCATCAATATAACAAACCTGTTGTAGGGTAAATAAACTGGATGGTAACACTAAAAAGCCAGTCTGTATGTTCCAATGCTACCTTATCAGTTATCAATCATCTGGAATTTCAGTGAACTTTATTAGAGTAAGTAGGTGCTGTCACCATGTGGTCAAGATTCACGCTTGCAGAACAGTAGTTTTCAGCTAATAAATACCAGGCCTGATGATGGACTAGTCTGCCTGCTGACGTAGTGGACCTGACCAGGGCCTTAACGGTGTGCGAGCTGTGCAGCGGCACAACTCACAACAATCTGGGCCTGCCCTACCTTAGAGCCCCTTCGTAGGGGTGAGATTGCGCCTCGGCCGGTCTGCCCTTTCAGAGGGAGCTCTGCCTCTTCATTGGCCGGTGAGGAGATTGAGGCTCTCCCTCAAAGGCCCACTGTCTGCATGATGGGGAGGAGGGGGCCCAGGGTGTTTCAGTTCTGCACCTATTCTGGGTGCAGATACTGAGAACTTTTCGTGAGCTCAGCATTCAGAGCATTGCCACGGGTTTCCACGGCAACGCTCTAATATCATTCAAGCGGAACTCGAAAGGAAGGCTCCTGCTCTCCATCCGGGAGGTGCAGAACTGAATCGCTGGCAGAGACAGCTAGACCACCTTTGGCCAATCTCCCTGGTTAAAGGTATGCAAGAGGGAGGGGGAATCAACTTATACTAATTTATAATAATATAATATATTCCTTATACACATTACATTTACACTACATCCATATCCTACCCCACACTATATTTCTTACATACACTGCATAAGCTACACAAAACATCCCTCTTCCACCCCTATCCTACTAATGATCTCAGCCAGTGGGGGCAGGGCGGATGCAGAGAGACAGAAGCTTCTTCAACTTATTGAAGGGGTTGATAATCTAAATAGAATAGCTAACATAATGTTTATGTTAGAAAACATTTGTACTTCTGTTGCTAGAGTGTTCCTTAAAATCTTCCCCCCCCAAAATGTATACAATTCTGCTAGCACAATATATAGATAGAGTTCTATGCTCTTTAAAAAGACCAGATGCTGTGTGTACCATAACAAGTACAGTTTAATGTGATTTCTGAATATATATATAAATATATATATGTGTGTATTAATATATGTATTATTATGCATATAATATTTACGCATGCATTAAAACACATGTGCATATGCATAATATAAACAACCAAAATATAGGTGGAGTGTATATAAGAAAGGTAGATATCCCCCCCAAAAATAGGAAAATTATACCACCTTGGTATTAGTCCAGATATCTATGAAAAGAATAAACTTGACATAGGGTAATATTGTAAAGAAACACTTCACCCACTAAATATAGATTGCACTCACAAGAATTTGGATAGTTTCAAGCACATCAGAATGTATGGAGATCAACTCTGGCGAAGTATGTTCCAGCTTATGACAAGAAACAGAAAGCAAGAGATAGTACAGATGGTAAATATAAAATGACACAATTTATAAGATTGCACTTACAGGATAATGATAAAAAGCCAGCATATCTTCTCAAACAGCGGATATGGGTTGTATAGATGAGACCAGTGTTTCAGGAGATATAAATAAAGACACTGCCAGGTATTAGTGTATAGCAGCCATGTTTCAGGAGATACAGGAAGGAAGCACACACCCCAACAGGAAACCCGTGCAATAGAGAATAAACCATAGAGTAAGTTGCATGTTAACCAAACATAACATCCATAACATCTCCTTCTTTTAGTATTAAGAAATCAACATTGTGAAACACGGTCCTTGTAATAACATTCTAGAGCAGGGGTGGGCAACCTACGGCACTAGTGCAATGCACGGCACTAGTGTCTTTCCACGGCACTCAAGGCTGCTGGAGCCAAACAGGGTCTGGCCTATCAGGAGTCTCAGTGAAACTTCAGATATCTGCTAATACAAAGAGGTAGTGAAGGACAATCCTCAATTTATGCATTGCAGCACTTAGAGGAAGTGATCTCAGATCACTTCCTCCCAGCACTTGTGAATGTGAATCCACACTGTAGTAGAGCAGCCCACAGCTGATGTTGCAGCTCCTGTCCTTGACCTGTACCTGCCCAGGCTGGTCCCCACTGGAACCTAGGGAAGCCACCCACACTGCTAGATATACACAGACCTGCAGAATAAGCCTCCCCTCATATAAATAATATGAACAGCCCACACACAAACATACACACAATCACCACAAACGCAACACCACTAACAATATACATACATGCACACAATCCCACATGCAGCCTCTCACATGCAAAACCCCAAACAGCCCCCATACACTACCAAACACAATGTGACATATCCACCCACACACAATTCCACAAGCAGCCCTCATACACAGTCCACATTCATATGTATCATACACGATACCATAAACTACTAATGAACATATACAATATAATAGCTCATATACGCACAAATACAACGATACAAAGCAATTACAGTATAAATAACACAAGCAGAATACAGCAGCACACACACCTCAATTTAAAAAAATAGGGTCGGCAGGGCCGTTTGAAGGAATTTGGGGGCCCCAATCAAAATGGACATGGAGGCGCCCCCCCTGCACGCAAAGCCTACAGGAACCACAGCATAGCCATACCGTTTAAGTTCACACACACTTTATATAAATAAAAAAGGTTTACAGTGCAAATACTGCTGTTGCATATACTGTGCATAAATAAAAAAGGTTTACAGTGCAAATACTGCTGTTGCATATAATGTGCATAAAATTTGAACATTTTCAACAACTTGAAAATTCCGTGTTCTCCTCATCTCCCCTTCTCCTCACCCCCCCTCCCTGTGTTCTCCTCATCTCCCCTTCTCCTCACCTCCCCCCTCCCTGTGTTCTCCTAATCTCCCCTTCTCCTCACCTCCCCCATCCCTGTGTTCTCCTAATCTCCCCTTCTCCTAACCTCCCCCGTCCGTGTTCTCCTAATCTCCCCTTCTCCTCACCTCCCCCTCCCTGTGTTCTCCTAACCCCCCTCTCCCTGTGTTCTTCTTACTCCTCCCCCTCCCTGTGTTCTTCTTACTCCTTCCCCCTCCCTACGTTCTTCTTACTCCTCCACCATGTTCTTCTTACTACTCCCTCCCTATGTTCTTCTTACTACTCTCCCCCTCCCCATGTTCTTCTTACTCGCCTCCCTATGTCCTTCTTACTCCCCTCCCAGTGTCCTTCTTACTACCCTCCCTGTGTCCTTCTTATTCCCCTGCACTTCCTGTCAGTCCAGCCAGGAACAGGAAACTGAATCTCCTGTACCGCGTGTACCGCCGGACTGACAGGAGGAAGAGGAGCTCGGCCACGCTACAGTAAAGGGGAGGTGACGAGAGAGGCAGTGCTGCAGCCGCCTGAGGCTCTCTATAGAGCGCTCAGGCAGCTGCAGCCTTACAGGAAGCGCCGGCCCTGCTTGGGGGCCCAGGCCAGCTCGGGGCCCCAAGCAATTGCTTGGTTAGCTTGTCTGGTAGCGACAGGCCTGAGGATCGGCACGCTACGGGAGATCACAATCCTATATCGGCACAGTGCTGCTAAAAGGTTGCCTACCCCTGTTCTCAAGGTTAAGTCTCTTAGGTGGTTGTGAATGTCTGCCACTATGAGTGAAGACTAGTCCAGGTTGTGCAAACAGTCTTTTAGACATCTCGGAGGTTACTAGACTCTTCCCACCACTTACTGGCATGCTTTGAAATTGACTGCTGTCAGGTCCTGCTTGCTCAGGGTTGTCATTAGTACTAGTCTGTGGTATCACTTCTGTACACTCTTCACTGTCGACATGTGAGTGTGTCCTTGTAATACCAGGTGTGTCTGGCTTGTCAACTGGATATTGAGAATCGTTCTTCTCAGCCACTCGCAGATCCACAAGACTGCGTCGTTAGAGAGTTCCTTCGATATCCATAAGATAAGAGCGTGGTGCAACCTTTTGCAGACAGGTTCCCATTCTCCAGCGACCCGTTTGATCTCCAGGAAGCAGTTTCATACGGATTTGTTCCTCAATATTCAGTTCAGGTAAATCCCTAGCAGATGAGTCATATCTAGCTTTGAACACTTGCCTCTTAAGTCGTAACCTTTCTGTTACACCTTGTATCACAGAGGGTTCAAGTAGCTTGTTGGCTACTGGTAAGGAGGTCTTTAATCTCCTTGACATCAGTCTTTGTGCCGGACTATTATCCATACCCTCTGTTGGAGTATTGCTCCAATGTAAGATGGCTTTCCATGGGTCTTTACCATCACTTTTAACTTTTTTTGCATAAATTCTTCACTATTTTCACAGCAGATTCAGCTTTGCCATTAGCTTCTGGATGACGTGGTGAAGAAGTCACATGCTCAAACTCCCATTCAGTGGCAAACTTGCAAACTGAGGACCATTATCAGAAATCACTTTAGTTGGTTGTCCATAAAATGCAAATTGCGCCTTGCATCGCTTAATTGTAGTTTCAGTGGACAAGTCAGGAAGCAGTTCAATTTCCCAGAAGTCTGAGTAATGATCGAATAAGAGCAGGTACTCTTTTCCAGTATAGTTGAATAGGTCCATGCTGACAATCTGCCTAGGACGTGTAGGTATCTCATGTGACATCATGGTTTCTTTTTGTGGTGAGTGTGCATATTCATTGCAAGTGGAACAATTGCTGACAAAGTCTTTAAATTCACCTTGCATGTTGGGCCAGTTAAGAGTATCACAAGCTTGTCTGTAGCAAGCCTCACCTCCGATGTGGCTTGAGTGTATGTGCAATAACATCTCTGCTCTTAGTGACTTCGGCACTATGACTGTTGGGCCTTTGTACAAGATACCATTTTGTGTGCTGATATCTCTGAAGGACCAATACTCCTTCACAATTGCAGGTGCTGCATCCTTTTCATCTGGCCACCCCATCAGAACTATAGACTTCAGTGCTTGCAAAGTTGCATCACTTTCTGTGTGCTGTATGAGCTGATGTAGCCGCTGATGTGTGACATTAAGATAGTCTATTTGATTGACTTTGGCAAAGAAATTCTGTTCCTGCTGCAACAAACAAACTGCAAGATGCTCATGCTCACCTCCAGGTGCCACGTGTTCCGTTGTAGCTCTGCTTAGGGTGTCACTGATGTACATTTCAAATCCTGGCTTGTACAAAACATTGAGATTGCAATTCTGCAATGTAAGCATCATGCTCTGCAAACACTTTGGAGCACATAAAAGCGGCTTCTTGAATATGGCTGTTAGCGGTTTGTGATTGTAACGGATCACCTGGCACCCCGACTGGGTACCTCCGTTAAAGGATGCTCCTAGCATTTCCTGAGGACTCCAAGCACTCTGGCAGACACCACAATCACTGAACCGGAGAAGCATATGAGTACTTTTAAGCATTTGAATGTTGTATACAGCCGAATAGGAAAAAACATGCGAATAGGTTTACACTCCTAGCAGTCAAACTGGAACAGCATACAATAAATCCTCCCCCATTAATGAGACGACACTTCACTTTGAGGGTTAAGCAGGAACTGACTGTACTGGCACATACAGCCTCTTTTATTCCCAATCCACAAACTTAGTACTGCCCACAGGGTTTTACAGAACAACCAATCAATCTGTACAATACACACAGACACTACCACACAAAATCCTCCCCTCTGCCTGTGATATGATTACTGAACACAATGGTTAATCTAATTATCACAGGCAGAGAAATACAGTATCATAAAACACATCACAGGGACCCCAAAATATGCAATAACCCCATAAAAAGTATATCCTTGGAACCAGGGGATCTGGGTGAACTACATATCCAAAATCACCCAGATCCGTTCAGTACTTTGGAAGATACAGTTTAATGCAGATTCCACAGAACATATGCAGGCTAAATGAAAAACCATTACTGTATTATGTGTCCCTTGTTGTATAGTCCAAAACCACTACACGATGTCTCTGTGCACCAAATACCGGCGAGATGGCACCGTGTTGTCCAAACAGTGTCTGTGAGTTAAAATGGCCACCATCCATTGTTCTTACCATGTGCTTCATCCATTGTTCTCACCATGTGCCTCTGATACATGAAATGGTGGCCACCCAGTAACTCCACAGTATGTCCCCAGATGGTTCTTAAAGGGCCAGCAGCAGCACAACACAAATCCATTATGCCCAAATCATGTCTTTAAAGGGCAATACATCCCAGGGGCCATAGTCACATCAGTCTTCTCCAATGCCCAGTGGTGAGGTCAGTTTCGCCACAGTGATCAGTTTCAGCTATGATTGCATCCCGGCCATAGAGATTATGATGGAAACACTGACAGGCAAAAACAATACTTAAACATTCCTTTTCAATTTGAGCATAATTTTGCTCAGCTGAAGAGAGTGCTCTGGATGCAAACCCAACTTACTGACCTTCTCGCAATAGACAACATCCTATGCCATTTTTGCTTGAGTCGCTTTGTAATGTAACAGGCTTTTGTACATCATGATATTTTAGCACTGGGGCAGCTGTGATCAAGTGTTTTTTTTCCTCCACTGCCTGGTCATGCTTGGGAAGCCAATGCCTAACTCAATTCTCACACACCTCAGACAAAGGCAGCATGAATTTTACTAGGTATGTGACAAAGCCAATAAAACGTTGCACTGCTTTGGTGTCACCAAGCCGTGACATGTCCACAATGGCTCTAATCTTATCTGGGTCAGCTTTCAAGCCTTGTTGAGACAGGATATGTCCATGGAAGCGAACTTCTTGTACCTTGAATTGTAATTTCTTTACGTACCTTGAATTGTAATTTCTTTACGCATTACCTGCCTGCAACGATCCAATCATGCTCCTAGCTTCTCATCATGGTCATGCTCAGCTTCCTCATCTGTATTACCACAGCCAATTATAAGAATGTCATCTGCTATTGGTTCAATACTGTGGAGCCCACTTAACAGTTCATGTTGCTTTCGCTGAGATACTTCTGGGGCTACGGAGACACTAAACGGCAGCTTGAGCCATCTCTTTCGGCCCCACGGAGTCCAGAAAGTGGTCATGTAGCTACTCTTTTCATCCAGTTTGCACTGTGGAAAGGCATCTCTTGCATCAACAAGTGTAAAAATCCATGCTCTGGGCAGTTTGTGAAAAACATCCTCAAGTGTTGGCATTATGTAGTGTGACCTTCTCAGGGCCATGTTAAGAAACTTCGGATCAATGCAAATTCTAATCTTTTCAGGCTTTCTAATAACTAACATGTTGCTTATCCAGTCAGTTGGCTCTGATACTGATGTAAGATGTCCGTCAGCTTCATACTTATCCAGTTGTGCTTTTACTTGTGGCTTAAAGGACCACTCTAGGCACCCAGACCACTTCAGCTTAATAAAGTGGTCTGGGTGCCAGGTCCAGCTAGGGTTAACCCATTCTTTTATAAACATAGCTTTATGAATGGGTTAAGCCTTCCCCCAAAGCCTCTAACGGCTGTCTCATTGACAGCCGCTAGAGGCGCTTGCGTGCTTCTCACTGTGATTTTCACAGTGAGAGCACGTAAGCGTCCATAGAAAAGCACTGATAATGCTTTCCTATGCGACTGGCTGAATGCGCGCGCAGCTCTTGCCGCGCATGCGCATTCAGCCGACGGGGAGGAACGGAGGAGGATCAGAGGAGGAGAGCTCCCCGCCTAGCGCTGGAAAAAGGTAAGTTTTTCCCCCTTTCCCCCTTCCAGAGCCGGGCGGGATGGGGTCCCTGAGGGTGGGGGCACCCTCAGGGCACTATAGTGCCAGGAAAACGAGTATGTTTTCCTGGCACTATAGTGGTCCTTTAATGGCTATAGGCACATTGCGTGGGGCACATTGTACTGGTGGAATGGTAGGATCCAGTTCAAAATGAACCACTCCTGGAACAGATACTACTGGGCCAGTAAACACATCATTATAGACTTTGAGGATTTGCAGTTTTGTCAGTGGCCTAGTCAAGGGCTTTGCAAGCTGATTAGCAACATTGTACAGTTCCGCAGGAATTGTACACATGTACACATGTTGATCCAGACAATAGCGGTTTCTGATTGGCTTCAACAATCTCAAATTCAAGCTTGTGCATATTTTCACATATGCTGCACTATGTTTGGAAAAGTCCCAATGATTCCATTAGTTCCCCTGAATATAGCTTCAGCTTGGTGCTGCTGGGCTGAAAAGCTGCCATAGGTGCCAGTTTCATCTTGTCTTTCAAACTCATGGCATCACATGTTGCACCAGAATCCAGCTGGCAGGGTTGGCATATATTATTCAGTCTGAGATTTACAAACCATATTTTGCCCTTAGACGTTACAGCACCATTGCATTCCTTCAAGCCCTTAAGGACCAAACTTCTGGAATAAAAGGGAATCATGACATGTCACATGTCATGTGTCGTTAAGGGGTTAAGTAAATGACGTCATTGCTAAGCAGGAGTGCATCCTCAGAATCAGACATGTGTTAAATTGTGTTTAGCTTCCTTGCTTCCTTTCTTCTTGACAGACATACTCCAGCAAAATGATTTAGCCTACAACATGATTAACAGGTTTTTCCATATGTAGGACACTGTTCTTTCTCTCTCACATGTATACTGCCACTGTACTTACATGATGTAGACTTGCTCACAGGTGAGGTGCGTTGGTGATTATTGTGTTGATGCTTGTGTTGGTGGTTCTTCAAGCTTAGCTGTTGCTTGAAGGCTGCATGGATGCTGTCAGTCTGTTTATCCTGATCCAAACCTCTCATATGTTTGTCAGTAAGTTCTGCAGTGCGACATATATCAATTGCTGCATGTAGGGTTAAATCATGTTCCCTCAATAGACGGTGGCGGGTACTCTCAGTATTAATACCTAGGACTATTTTGTCACAAATAAGTACATCTCTCAAGGAGCCATACTCACAGCTTGCAGCTTTTTCTCTTAGCCTTGTGACAAAGTTGTCTATTGATTCACCTTCTTATCTTTCATATATTACATTTTTTGCAAGTCTGAAGAAAGCTTCTAATGCATCAAGGATGGCTTTAGTGTCATTCTTTTGCTCCTCTGTAAGGTTCAAATTATGCTTGTAAACATGGCAGCACTCACTGCCCATCACCCTCCTCAGTGTGGCTGCTTGCACTGCTGCAGGCTTCTCATTCTGCCCTGTAGCTAGGGAGTAATCCTGAAACTCAGCTCTGAAGTTATCCCAGTTACTGCTGCAATCCCCACTCACCCTCATTGCCTCAGGTATTAGCAGCTGCCATGATGCTGGTTTTCTTGCTTCCAGTGCTCAGCTTGCAGGACAGTAGTAGCTGTAATTGCTACAGCAGGCACAATTACTTCCAAAAAGTCTATCACTGCCAGACTTGCAAGCTCCTGGTATCAAGTGTGTGAGAACAGATTAGGTTCAGATACTTCTGACACCATGTTTCAGTAGGTATAAATAAAGACACTGCAAGCTATTAGTGTATAGCAGCCATGTTTCAGGAGATACAGGAAGGAAGTACACACCCCAACAGGAAACACTTGCAATAGAGAATAAACCATAGATTTAGTTGTATGTAAACCAAACATAACACCCATAACAACCAGGATCAGAGTAATACAATGAATGGAGTCCCAAGACAAAAAAACAGAGCCTCTGTGCTGTAAATCCGACACGTTTTGTCTGAGTAGACTTCTTCAGGGATGTGTCTTCCTTTCCCCTCGACCTCTGCTTAAATAGTGTTGATGATCTTCTAATGTAATCCAGCTGGTGGGCGCGAAGGTATAGCGTGTGTACCACGCTGGAACGCTCCATGGTTTCCGGTGTCGTCATTTCCGGTCTTTATGTGCCTTCGGGCGAATGGAGTATGCATTCTACCTTGGAACGCAAGTGCCGTGATATGGACTAACAAGGAGTAGCTGAACGATGTACACCTGTAAATGTGTAAATAAAAGTGTTCCATCATAGCTTGAATAACCTTGCTAACATAACAAAATCACCCCAAATACAGGGAGAAGAATATCTAATAGTAAAAAATAGACAAAAAGTATATAAAAATGTAAAGAATATAAATATAAAAAAGAACATGTGATATATGTCTATAAAAAATTTAAATATTCAAGTGCTGATGGAGAACCTTGTGTATAAAAGTCAAAATACATGGAAATCCATAAAAATAAATCAAAATAAGACTACACAAAGCACTAAACACACTTGATATACTTAATGTGTTAGTATTTATATGTGATATAGGATGCATATTTCCAATTTAATCTATGTGGCGGAACCAGCCTCGCCACTGGACTTTGGAGAAGACTGATTGCCAGCCTCCTGCCATGTGACTATGGCCCCTGGGATGTATTGCCTGCTCTCCTGTACTGCTGAGGATTGCTACCAACTACGTGGATTTGGCTATGGAGCTTGTGTAGTGCCCTCTGTTGGTAGCAACAGTAATATGCACTACCTGAATAGCAAGACTGGTAATTTGCATATTCGGGTAGATTTGCATATCGCTAATTCTGCATGCAGGAGAGACATTTTGTGTTAATTATGGTCTTCCCCACCCATTTATAAATATGTAATTATGTTATAATAAGTCACTGTATGTTGCCTGCTATGATTTGATTGTTTGTAATTTTATTGAGTTTTCACAGCAATGTTAATGTAATGACCATATGGGCTAGTCCCAAGTAAAATAAAGTTTTAGACAGTTCTACTTCATCATCAATTTGGAGTCCTGTCTCTTATTGGGGGGAATCTGCTACAAGGGATTGCTATGCTCTGCATATTCCCTTGCTATAATCACTCCTAAGCTCTTTTAAGAGCTTGTTCCTGCTTCACTCGGAAGGAAGAGAGGTTCTGCCTGCGGTGGTTGTGGTGTCGACTAGAGTGCTTGGAGCCCTCAAGAAGCGCTAGGAGCATCCATCAACGGAGGTACCCAGTCAGGTACAATCTATAAATGGTCCACATCTATTACTAAAAACATGTGTAAGTATAGAAAAAAACAATACAATGAAAAAATATATAAATGGAATATAATACATAGATAAAAAGTAGACAGATATAACCCAGAATGGAAAAGAATGGAGAAAAACAAAGAGAAAATATGGGACGGCGATAGACTGCAGAAACTGAAATTAAACTAGACGTACTAAGTCAATGTCTTGATTTAGACCTTGTTTTTAAATTCTTAGATTGTAGACCCATTGGGCTTCTTTTTTCTTCAGTTCTCTTTGTCTATCTCCCCCCTCCAGTGTTTTTCTGCTACATCAATTCCAATAGCTAAAAAAGAATCCCAGGTGAAAAGAGGATATGTGTTGCAGTGCTTAGGAACACTATGTTCAGTTTTGTTATTTTTTATGTTGTAAAAATGCTCTGCCAATCTAGTATGGAGTTTTCATGTGGTTCTGCTGTTGTATTGGGCTCCATATCTTCATTGTAGTAAATACTTAACAAAGATGGTAGAGCATTGTATAAATTTTCTTATATTATATTCTTTTTTTGGTATATGTGCCTTTGAATCTATGAATTTTTATTTTTTGATGCTTACATGTGGAACATTTTCCACATCTAAAAAAACATTTTAAATCAAACAATCTGAATATTTTGGTTTTCCTTCTTTAAAAGGCTCGGGGCAAGTTGATTTTTCAAGTTATCAGCTTTTTTGTAGATAACTATCGGTTTATCTCGAACAACCTTGCCAAGTATTTCATCTTTTTTTCAGTATATGCCAATGCCTTTTTAAGACGTTTTCAATCTTTTTTTGCTTGAGAATTATATTTTGTTATAAAGGCATATTCAAGATTTTTTTATTATTATTTTCTCCATTCTTTAAACTAGTTTTATTTTGGGATAATAAGGTCTACATATTTTTCACCCCTATTTATTTTTTCTGAATCATATCATTCCTTAATGTTAGAGACCTGTTCATTAAATACTTTTTTTATCTGAACAATTTCTTTTTATATGTGTCATTGGCCCTTAGGTATATTTGTGAGCCAA